AGCCACAAAAGGTACGTCTATAGCTTCCTCATATCAAAAGAATAATTAAATAATGTCACCTATTTCAGGTCGCGGAGATCATTTTGTTTTATTTTTGAAACTTTAAAAGATTCTTCTCACATTTGTTTTAACCCTCGTAAATTGCGGTTTAGAAGCGATAAGATGAAAGTGTTAGAGCAGAGCGCTGCTTGTTGCCAACTGATTTGCAGTTCATTCATCATGACAAGTCGCAGCTAAAGGTATCAATCAAGGCTAATAAGAATAGCTAGTGTTTAGTAAAGATAGGTAAAGGTAGTCCAAGTTAAGTGCACCAGTTCATCCACCATCTCATCAAATTTCAATATGCGGGAAGATCCGCTTCTGGAGCAGAAAAGCTAGCAGGGAGCAAGTAGACTAAAGATGATAAGAAATGTATAGATATAAATTTTCATTCAAAGCTTTGAGAATCATGCTTTAATGCGAAAAAGGACCCTTTACGGTAATCGACTATGAGGTCATTATCGATAATACCCACAGGGCTTTGTCAATAATCGATATTTTTTGTTTAATTTTTTATGCCCTTGATTTTCGGAGTGTTTCACTTTGCTGGGACAATTTGCGGAGTTTCTCTCTATAAATCATAACCTTGGGTAACTTAGCCCATAATATCCTCGGTGGAATATAATCCAAGGCTAAAGGCGTATATAATGAAAGATCAGATTTAGTATTGTGATAGATAAGGTTTAGTGTTCAGATTTAGTGAGAGAAGATTTCCTGCTGCTTCCTTTTTCGACACGCAAACCGCTTTTCCACCTTCAATGCTATTTTATCAAGCGGTAACAACAAAAATTATCATTTATTTACAGAAGATATTTACAAGCTACACAGCGCTTCATCGCTATTTGCCCCATCCTGAATAAAAGAAACTTTGGCAGGAATAACATTACAGTTGTATGTGAAGGCATACCCCATCCTCCTTGTTGTTGAAAGGGTGAATAGCCACCAAATCCGCGATTACCATAGTATCCATTATGACCAAACCGCTCACCGCTGTGACCGAAACCACGACCAAAACCTCCTCGCCTATTCCAGCCTTCATGTGACCATGAATCACGCTTATCTAGACAAAATGAGATTTCCTACAAACTGAAGTATATTCTGCTGATGCACAACTCTGAACGTAAATATATGTGAATCAGATGCGAATTTAAGGCTTTCATGATGTAACAGAACGATTAAATACCTCTTTTTAGTGCTGAAGATAGTGCCAATACGGCAGCCAGCAGGAGGACAGCAAATAAAATTTTCATAACTATAAATGCGATTCTGTAGGTGTGATTAGAGTTGAATGTCGCGACAACGCTACTTGGATAGTGTCAGATGAAACGTCGGCAGAAATAGGAAACTTTACCAGATTGCCAATGTAAGGAGGATCACCAGACAAACATTTCACACAGTTTTAAATACTCATGCGCACTAACATATCAAAGGTGGCAAACAAAAGAACAAAACTAGTTTTTCAGCATCAATTGTTTGTTGCACAACCTATGCATGATGTTAGTGGCCGTAACGAGCGATGGCCAAGGGCAGAAGCTGTCATAGGATCTGCATATTTGTTGAACAAATGTGCAAACAATTTTGATTGTTTCTATAAACAGCAAATTATTCTTTATAGCGGCAATGTTGTTGTTCAGACATTGTTCTTTCCTATTTTAAAATTTAAGAATTATCTCTTTTTTACTTATTTCAAAAATAAATTCCATGTTGAATTCTGGTGAAATCTGAATATTTACTCAAGACTATTTTTATTTGTCTTCTTCTTGAAATTCTTATATTTATTTCTTTGAAATACGAGTTTTAAACAGTCAAGAATAACAATGTTTTAAAGTTAGAATACTGAAGTGCCTT